AGCACGAGCCAAATCTGAATGGACGGACGGACTGACGGGGTGATTACAATATACGCCCATCTTTAGTGTGGGCGTATAAAAATTGGAAAAATTTAGAGATATTTGGACTGTTCTAGGTGTTTTAGAAAACCCCAAAATTACTGAAATTTGATACAATTGATTGCAGGAAGCTCACTTACTAATAAACAATAGGTTGTATCTTCAGGATCTAATATTATTCCTGTAACATCTTCTATATTGGCACTGCCTAAGGTTCGGAAGAAACTAGTTTGCACATCTTCATGACACATCAATACTTTATTACTAGTGACTACTGTACAGCATGGTAAACAACTGAATGGTGTACCATCATCCTGTTGAATGTAAGATCATGTTAATTCTAGTGGGACAGACAGGTAGGGCATTTGTTTTCACCAATCATACTTTAGTCTCAGAAAGATGAATTTTTTAGCTGAGCTAATTAGTTATAGTGTTTAAAGCATACCGTCGAAATTTGAGCCTTTAAATCCATGTGTGTCCAGAATTATCTGCTATTGAATGTTAAAATGAGAACTCGGCTATTTAAGATACTCTGTGATATATAGTGGGTAAAATTCCTAGTTTGAAGTATTTTTGAAGGAATTATGCTATTTCTGTACATTTCTAGTACTTCTGATGACTATTTACATATTTTCAGGAACAAAATCAACTCCCCAAAATGGCGCATCTGTCCCTTTAAAATATTTCAATACCCAGTAAACAAAGAATACAGTGTCTTGTACTTAAATAAAAGATAGCTTGCGTTGCAAGGTAACATACGCCCACTGGCAGCTGTCAGAAATAATTAAACAGTCTTTAGTGACTACAGGGTTGTACAATATAGCTAATAGAGTGAAACGTCAAGTCAGACACGATATTTCGGTGAAAAATTATCTGATCATCGCGAAAATCGATAGGGATCATCTTCATACTGACATTGACATACAAAATAAAAATCAAAAGAATCTGTAAACAATTGTAGCCTGTAGAGTGAGCACGAGTTGTACAATATAGCTAATAGAGTAAAACGTCAGGTCAGACACGATATTTCGGTGAAAAATTATCCGATCATTATGAAAATCGATAGATCATCACGAAAATCAATAGGGATCATCTTCATAACGACATAGACATACAAAATAAAAATCGAAAGAATCTGTAAAAAATTGTAGCCTGTAGAGTGAGCACGAGATGCACAATATAGCTAATAGAGTAAAACGTCAAGTCAGACACGATATTTCGGTGAAAAATTATCCGATCATCACGAAAATCAATAGGGATCATCTTCATAATGACATTGACACACAAAATAAAAATCAAAAGAATCTGTAAAAAATTGTAGCCTGTAGAGTGAGCACGAGATGCACAATATAGCTAATAGAGTAAAACGTCAAGTCAGACACGATATTTCGGTGAAAAATTATCCGATCATCACGAAAATCAATAGGGATCATCTTCATAATGATATTGACATACAAAATAAAAATCAAAAGAATCCATAAAGAACTGTAGCCTGTAGAGTGAGCACGAGCCAAATGTGAACGGACGGACCGACCGACAGACTGATTACAATATACGCCCATCTTACGTGTGGGCGTATCAAAATTAATTAACAAGATTGTAAAGTCACACCTACCATAAAGATAAATTATTACTGTACTATATCCGAAACGGTTTAAGTAACTAGTTCCTATCTATCCATTCAGATTTGTATGGTACTGGTACTTAATGATTTGTTACTGATTTAAAGTGATTGATAGAACTAATTTTAGTCATCTGTTCAATAGTCAATGTCATTTCTTAATGAAATGATAGCTTGCGAGGCAAGGTAACATACGCCCACTGGCAGCTGTCAGAAATGATACAACAGTCTTTAGTCTCATATTAAAGAATTTTTATTAGTTTGATTTCAATGATTGATATATTTACTTCCAGTAATTTATACTTAGTAATTCCATAAAATTTTTTAAAATCAATATCAATAACCCAAATTTATCACAGCTCTCAGCTCAGGGCCAAAAATTGTTAAGAAATCGTTGAAAATTTGAACTTGGCCAAGATCTCATCAATATAAATAAAAAGACGTAAAACTCCATTCATTTCATTACATTCATCATAAAAATCACTTGAAATCTGTAGTCTCTATTGTGTTTATGAACAAATTTTGAAATATTTTATCCAAGTCAAGGACAATAACTCAAAAACCGTTATCGAAAAATCGTCAAATTCAAACTTGACCAAGATGTCATAACATTAAGTTTCATTAAAATTAGTTGAAAACTGTAGTCTCTATTATGTTCACAAGTCAAGGGCAATAACTGAAAAAACGTTCATCGGAAAATGGCAAATTTCGTAATTGTTCAAGATATCATCATTATACATATTAACACCAAATTTCATTTAAATTGGATGAAAACTGTAGTCTTTATTGTGTTCACAACCAAATTTTGATGTGTTTTTCATAAGTCAAGGGCAATTACTCAAAAACCTTGTCCAAGATGTCGCTAATATAGATAATCACACCAAATTTCATTCAATCAGATAAAAACTGTTGTCTCTATTGCGTTCACAAGCCAGTTGTGGACAGACAGACGGACAGGGGCGATGACAATGCGGAATATCCTTTTAACAGAAATTACCTGCATTCCTTCTGAGACAGCTCGACACATACACATCAACCAATCACACATTTCAGCATTGTCACTAGCAGCTAATAACAAGCTATCACCTTTAGATACAACAATCTCCATACTGTGATGTTTCTCACTAGATTGAGATCTACGACATCCGACACATTGGTCACCTCCCATTCTTAAATATCCTTCAGGTTTACTGTCAGACTTACTTTTAAATATGCACAAAATTCCATCTCTAAATAATAAAGATAGCATGGTCACATAGGCCAACAGTTGCAGTTTCAGAATAATATTGTTTTTCAAATTGGTCAATTTTTTAGACAACAAAATTCTACCCAAAACTGATGAAAAATTTAACTTGTTAAAATCACTAAGCATATTGTGAGCTTGAAACTCATCCAAGAACTCATGAACAAAATTTTACCAAGTTGCATTAAAACTTTAGTATAAAGCACTTGACAATTGGAATTACTTTTTGAGAGACTCATTTTATTAACAGCAATAACAAAAACTTTTCCTATTTTTTAAAGAAATTTATCTGTTTTAATATTAAAGATTATTATTGTGTAGTTTACATCAGAGGACCATATTTTCCACACAACTGTCAAAAGTACCACAGAAATTACTAACCTTAAAACAACATAAACAGGTTTCCATACAGGTCCTTTATAAGGATCTTTAACTTTCTGTAGTAACTTTCCTTCTTTTGATGAACTTTCTGTCTTCACTTGCCTTGAATGAGGATCTTCCCAATATACCAGTGAGTATATTTCTTGCGTAGCTTCTGATTCCTTTAAAACATACATATTGCCTTAGAAATATATATTTACCACATTAAAATCAGTTTACTCAATCATGTGGGGTTGCCATAATCACAATTTAATATAAACAATTTATAATATCAATGAGAGATTTTATATTTGATATTCTACAATGCTCATAACTAATTCTATTCCATACCTCACAATGACATTCCTGTGTTATATATTTTTTAAGACATATTTTCTGGGTTGTAGCATCATCAAATACAGCTAATTTCCTTATCTTTAGTTCACTAGCATCAACTGCTTCACACATAGTGTCTACTATCAATCTGCAATTGAACAAAACATTAATCAATAATAACATATTATTAATAAAATACCAACTCCTTTTAATATCATTAAAGTTCCGTCTTGTTGAAGTGCTCAATTATTTTCTACTTAAAAATTCGAACAATGATAGGTTGAATAAATGTATATTTAATAAGATAGCTTGCCAGGCAAGGTAATCTACGCCCACTGGCAGCTCTGATTTTGAATAAAAATATTTAGCAGTACAGTAACTCTCACCATTATGGAATATTCAACCTTCAGTCATACACTTCTTTTGAACTCTTTAGGGTGATACTGAATAATATTGAGTATGAGTTATTGCCCTTGTTCTTGAAAAGGGGTTCAAATTTTAGCTCGTGAAAACTCTAGAAGGCAAATATTCAATTTTCAGTGCAGTACTGAATAATAAAACCAAGTTTTGTCAAAATCCAGCAAGAATCATGCTTTTTATTGTTTAAGAGCTAAAATTTTAAAGCGTTTTCGAGAACGAGGCCAATAACTCCTATCAAACATATTTTGTTTTTTTTGATTTTCGATAGGGTTCATCCATGGGTGATAATAAACAATTTCACCAAGTCTCATCAAAATCTGTCAAGAATTGAGCCTTCTAGAATGTTTATGAGCTCAAAATTTAACATGTTCTCAAGAACATGGGCAATAACTGATACTAAATATTTTTCGATTTTTCTGATTTTTGATAGGGTTTATCCTTGGATGATAACAAACACTCACATCAAGTTTCGTCAAAATTTGTCAAGAATTGTGCCTTCTAGAGTGTTTACGAGCTAAAAATTGAACGAGTTTTCCAACAACAAGGGCAATAACTCATTCTAAATATTTTTCGATTCTTCTGATTTTCAATAGGGTTAATCATTGGGTGATTTCAAACACTCACACCAAGTTTCGTCGAAATCCGTCAAGAATTGTGTCTTGTAGAGTGATTACGAGCAATTGGACGGATGGACGGACATGGGTGACGGTAAGCGTATAAAAATAATACAAAATACTGGTACAAACCTAGATAATACTTCATCACCTGTTGTTAACCAAAACTGGTTACGTTTATTTCTACATACAATGTTAACGAACTGATAATTTATGCTGTGCTGTAATAATAAAATAACAGAAATTATATTCTCACAATCTGGTAATTTAAGCTGTTAAGTAATAATAGAATTTACATATCTATTAAATCAACATACTGGTTATTTATACTCTGCTGTAATATTAGAATTAGCATATTCATCTATAAAATTAACATACTAGTAAATTATACTGTGCTGTAATAATAGAATTAATATATTTATAATATTAACAAACTGGTAAATTATACTGTGCTCTAATAATAAGATTAATATATTTAAAACATTAAAAACTGTTAAATATTATACTGTGCTGTAAAATGTAAAAATACAATTAATATATCTATAATATTAACATACTGGTTATTTATACTGTGCTGTAATAATAGAACTAATATATCTATAATATTAACATACTGGTTATTTATACTGTGCTATAATATTAACATACTGGTTATTTATACTGTGCTGTAATAATAGAACTAATATATCTATAATATTAACATACTGGTTATTTATACTGTGCTGTTATAATACAACTAATATATCTATAATATTAACATACTGGTTATTTATACTGTGCTGTAATAATAGAACTAATATATCTATAATATTAACATACTGGTTATTTATACTGTGCTATAATATTAACATACTGGTTATTTATACTGTGCTGTAATAATAGAACTAATATATCTATAATATTAACATACTGGTTATTTATACTGTGCTGTAATAATAGAACTAATATATCTATAATATTAACATACTGGTTATTTATACTGTGCTGTAATAATAGAACTAATATATCTATAATATTAACATACTGGTTATTTATACTGTGCTGTAATAATAGAACTAATATATCTATAATATTAACATACTGGTTATTTATACTGTGCTGTAATAATAGAACTAATATATCTATAATATTAACATACTGGTTATTTATAATGTGCTGTAATAATAGAACTGATATATCTATAATATTAACATACTGGTTATTTATACTGTGCTGTAATAATAGAACTAATATATCTATAATATTAACATACTGGTTATTTATACTGTGCTGTTATAATACAACTAATATATCTATAATATTAACAAACAGGTCCTTTCTGTGCTCCTATAATATGATCAATAGTAATTCATAACATTAAGAAACTGAACACTTAATTCCATTGAAAGACTTCATCAATGAAAGTAACCATTATTTGACAGCCCAGTAGAATTAAGTCCAATAATGAACAACTTTTCTATACAAATATACATAGTAACTTATTTCAGGGAAAATGTTGAAGAATAAGATAAAAAAGATAAGACCTACCACAATAAAATCTATATCTTGATAAGCAATAAATGACTGAATAATGAATTTTTTGGTAGCGGTTTTATAATCTAATAAATAAACATGCTTGTCTGTAATCAACACAAACACAATGATGACATCACCTTCTGTTTGACCTTGACGACAACTCAACATCTAAAAAATACACATAATGATTAATCATATCATGTGATACTCATTTATCTTAAAACATTCTGAGCTTTTATATATTATCACAAAAATTCAAAAATCCCGATCATTATTTAAAAATATATATAAAAGATATATTATGGAAACACCACATGATAAAGTATGACTTAGAAAATCATAATTAACACAGTACCTTAAGGAAATTTTCATCTTCATCTTTAAAAACATCCAACATTACATGAAGCATTGTATTATTGTCTATACTATAAAAATATTAAAACAGAAAAATATTCAAATTATATTTGCAATTATGAATAAGACATGTCAAATTTGTCAAAGAAATTGTTGATATAATGAAATAAGCTTACACAAAATTTTATTTTCTGACATAAACTGTCCTCTCTATCAACAACAAATTTTGATGCTTTTTCATTAAGTCAAAAGCAGTAACTCAAATCCAGTTTATCGAAAAATCGTCAAATTCAAACTTAACCAAGATCTCGCTGTAATAGATGATCTCACCAAATGTCATTAAAATCAGATGAAAACAAATTGTGGACACACAGGCTGACAGATGGACAGGGGTGACGACAATATATGACCACATTATCATGCATGTGTATAAAAATATCAATGTTTTCACTGGAAAAATACTTGAAAATGAGTTAAATTTTGTGGCCATTTCATTAATGTAACTGTACTGAATTGCCACTACATCATGTATACACAATTCATATATTGATGCTCCAAACATGGCCTGTTGTCTTAGTTCTAAATAATTCCAGATTTGAGGAAGATAATATTAACTTGCCTAATATGGTATTCAATATCATAGTTTTTAATATCATCTGTTTGACTATCATTAAAACTACATGTATCAACATTATCATCATTTAATTCTTCACCAGCTATAAACTTAACATAATCTTCTAGAGCTGACTGTTTCTGTTGACTAGTACTATTATTATTTTCAACAGCTTTATTAGAACTTCCTCCATATATTTCATAAAGATTTTCTTCAACCTCAGGCTCAGACGGAACGTCAATGGAGAGACCATATATTTTATTATCTGAATCTGTTTGAAGACTAGTTTCTAAATTTAATGTTTTTTTGGAAAAATTTATATTTTCTACTACACTTTTGACAGGACTAGAATGTAATTGAGTAATATCAGGTATATCAGGTATATCAGTGTTTGACAAATTCTTTTCTTCAACATCCTTCACAATTGCACTTTGTTCTGGATAAATTTTCAATTCAGATTTAATCACACAATTTTCAAGTATATTTGGTTGAGACAAATCTTTTTTTAACTGTTCTAATAAGTCATCAGACTTTAATTTGGGAGTCTGAGGACTATCAATTGATGGGGTGTCTTGAAAGTCGACAGTCTCAGTTATAGAGTTAACACTGTTATCCATAGATACAGGAGTATTAGGATCTGAATTGTCTTTATCACAACCATGTAGCTGTTCTTCATTATTATTCTCTTCAGAATTGACAAAGTTGGTTCTAGTATTTATGCTTATCAATTTCTTTGAAGTTTTTCTCTTTTTTGAACTTTTTGATTTCGAATTTTTAGATTTAACATGAACAATTTCCAATTCATTGGACAGTTCTTCTGTATTATCAACAACAGAAATTGATTCAATTCGTTTTAATCGTGAATCTGTTTCACCTTGACTAGTGTTAGACATTGTGTCGGTAGGAGGAGTAATACTTGATGGTCTGGCACGATGGCCTAGTGTATCTAGATGACAACCAGAGTCTAATGATAATGAACATTGCCGTGATTTATCTGTGGATGTACTTCCATTAGTTGTATCTAAACTAGACAGACTGGCTGTATCACTATCAGTTAATAGTCTATTAGAATCAGGAGTTGAAACCATTCTCTGAAAAAGAGAAATTATGCACACATTATGCAAGTGCATGAAAGGTTTCAGTCATCATTTAGCCCATAATTTAAACATGGTATTAATTAAGGATACTCAATGTCATCTGTTGGTAAATTGACAAAAGAAATTGTCCAATCTTGTCCTATATGCATATCAAGTTTCATCAAAGTCTGTTACAAACTTGCAAGACACTTTTAAGATTTTACATAAAGTGACCCAACTGACCTCTACACCATTAATTCTAGGACTACCACAATAGCTATCCATACTATGTAGTGATACTCTATCATCTTGAGACATTCCTGACGATAATACAGGCTTAGGTGGACTTGTTCCTAAATCTAAATATGGTACATTCTGTAACAAAAATGTGAAATATCTTAAAACTTCATTTGCTTATCAGATTGTGGATCACAGAGATAAATATGTCCACTGCAAAAATCCTTTAAATAGCTGGAGACATAGTATTTTCAAAATTTGGGATCATGGTAGGGACAGTAGTTTTTTTAAATTAAGATATATAAAGACCAAAAGACTTTCTTTAAAAATTCACATTAAGAAAAAGTCTTTTTGTTTTGTTTCCAATATGTTTCTTTATTTAAGAATATTGAGCAAACTTACTGGGTCTAACTGGAATGTAACAAAATCTAAACCAGATGTCAATGTCAATAATACATTCATTCTCTAAAATAATAATAAAACAAATTAGAGACATCTGAAAACATTTAAACCCTTTCAGTAACTTATAAGTTTCATACAAGCACCATTGTCCATACTGAAGTTTGACTCATTCCATCATTTGCATTAATAACAAAATCATTTATATAAAGTAGTTACAAGCATAGAATTTTCATTATTTTCATAACTGTCTCACTTAGCTATTAAGCATTTTACAGCTCAAAGAAAGTATTTGGTGAAAGTGGTTGTAAAAACAATATATACAGCACTTTGATTGATACATGAGTTTCCAAAAGTCTACACTAAAATAGCAGTACCAAGTCAAAGTTTTTTTTCCATTACTAACTATTAACATCACAGCCTTAAGCTGTATAGTAACTTGTTACTTTCAATCACCCTTATCACTGACAATGGTTGGTTGGTTGGTTGGTAGATGACAAGTTAACGTTCGCTTCCAGCGGATGCTGATATCGCAAACTAGGTAGTTGTTGGTAGTCGTAGTAGTTGGTAGTTGGATTGGATCAAATTGGATGATTCGGTGTTGTTGGTTTGGTTGTTGATTCTTCGTTAGATCTGGTCGGGTCGAATGACATGGCGGTGAAACTCGGCCCTGGATGGTGTGGCGTGAGTTACTCGGTCTCCTTCATTCTTTCAAACTCGTTCTGATCATGGTATTTCTTGTTGATTGGTAGTCGAATGGTAGTCGTTGGTTTGGACAATGACAAATAATAGCAATTATAGGTAACCATAGCTTACCTGTTGATCTAGAAGTAACGCTTCCTTGACATAATACTTTTTAATATGTTTTTCATCCTCCATTAAACATCTTATATAACTTTCTAGTAGACATTCATTAAGGGCTAAATATAACCATGCTCTTCCTAAAATAAAAGGGTACATTGATCACTTAATTTTATCTTTTATTCCTAAATCTTATCACTTATTATCAAAATATAATGATTAATCACAATCAATATTAAGCTAGTTAATCCTTTAATTATTTGGCCTAAATCTTAAATAATAATAGAGTAACATTCCTTTCGTAATATTTCAAGGTCACAACTATCGGTATTATGATAATTATGAATTGAATTTAGTAGGCTATAACAAATGTAATACATGAAAAATTAACCACTGTAATTAAGCTTACCTCTGCCAAGATTTGTGGTAACTCTATTGTATCTCTGTATTTCTTTCACTGTGCCCTTCCTAGTGTACTCTGTAACCACTCTCCAATATCCATTTGTGATGTGGCGTAACCTGATAATAGATGTTCACAAAACTTCGAATATGGTTAAATCATCAAATTTGAATTGACCACTGACAAGTACCCAACTCACGCTTGCAGATGAAAAAATCTACCAATATGAGTAGGATAGTAAGTTGGCAATAAAAATTAAATCCGTTCATGTAAATGGCATTAGTTGATATAATATATATGAATAATCATAATATTTTATAAACCTTACACCTATCCAAACCAAAATGTACTTAGGACTCTTGGTATTTGCAACCTTTACAATAAAATAAATATTTTAGCATTGAGTCAACACTAATCTAACAATTTACAATATGTGCAAAATGCAAAACCTGACTTTTATTATTCATTATTCTTACCCATGTAGTAAAGCATGATCCAGATTTTCACACAGTTTGTGACACTGCCAATCTGTATTAGATAAAATCAACCCTGTTTCACTATAGGAATAGCTGTATTGCTGAATCTAAAAATAGAAATAGTTTCCACAGATTATTGGAATCAGGACCGGTCGGACCGTTACCGTTTCGGCCCACTCATTACACTACCAACTCGGATCGTTACTGTGTCGGACCTATACCGATTCGGCCCACTATTTTTTATATACTCAACCAATTATCTGTATTAACGATACAGATGAATTATCTGTTTCGGAGGGGAAATTCCGCACCACCCAAGGAAAACTTTTTAAAATATGGTCAACGTACAGTGAAGGTGAAATGAGTACCAGCCAACTATTAAAGAAGTGTGGTGCCATCTTCGCCCCAAATAATTAAACGGCCCTTTTCAGGGCCACCAAACTCTCTCAAAAGAGTGAATGAGTCTAATATATTTGTGGGTGTTTATTTAGATAAACAAAATCTGACAATGTGGACAATTGCATATAAGAGTGATGATGTATTGTGATGAAAATAAGAAAGCTTATTCTAAAAATGATTAAGTATGGTGTGCAATATTTATGGTTTGCCATTTTTGACCTTAGGGGTTAATTTGTGTCATGAATATATGTTAATAGTCATCAGAAGTAGACTAAATCTGCATGAAAATAGCATAATTTCTCAACTAAAAACTATCCGCCTTTATTCCAGTCTATGATAGCTATTTGGACGATTAAGCACATTCGGTGTGCAAAATCTCATTACAACAGGGTCTATTTTTTTTTACTCTACTCCAACTGAAAACTGTAAAATATAGCTTTCAGAGGTTGGAATGAAACAGATGTTTCTTCCTAGTCAAATGGATGTACCTGTCCCTTTAAAGAAATTAAAAAGAGTGTAGCCAAATTAGCTAATGATCAATTGATATTGATATTAATGATAATAAAATAATTGGAATGGAAAATAATCTATTTTATGGATCTTGCTAGACCTAATAGGTAAGTATAAGCTTACAATATTACAATTTGTATATCATAATTTGCATGTACAGGTTTTAATAAAGTTCAATAGGTTATGTGTTTGCATTTTCATAGACATAATAAGATATCAACTGAGTTTCATCTGATTGAAAATTGACAATCATTCCCATCATAAAGATAGTCGATCATGATGTCATCATGTGACACAATGATAATGTCAAAGAAAACGAATAATAATTTTCACTCACTGCTTTTATGGCTTTCGCAACATTGGACAAGATCTTATCTTTCAGGCGAAGACGGTCGTTTGTGTTGGACATAATGTCGAAAAAGTCGTCAGACATTTATAAAGGATTTTGGCTCCATTATGCGTTTTAAATCATCACTCGTCTAATATACACATTTAGAATACACTCTGTCAAAACAATTCTATGATCCCGTTAGATGGCGCTGTTATTGTCAAATACATTGTACTCGGTTACAGTAATACAATCGGCGGACCCATAAAATAATAAATAACGGCAACTCGGTTCACAGAAAATGGATGCATAGACCATAGATTAGCAACTATATTCACCTCACTAACTACCTCACTATATTGCTATCTCAACCATAACCTCATGTAAACATTTCAATTTACACAATAATATCTAGCCTATTCTATTTTTTTTTATGAAGAATTTTATGAAACAATTTATTTTCTATGTAGTAATCGCTTTCCTTTATTATACCATAATATATGAGGCACCATTATATTTTATCTGGATGACTGCATATTTGTTATTTCACAGGACATTGTTGGAGTTATAAATATAACTTATTATATAACTATGGTTATGACATGATAGTAGAATGTCTGTAATGGACGTAAAATAGGCACAATTTGGCATCCGAGAACATAAAAAAGTGCCTGTGGCGCACTATTCCAACAATTAATGGTTGAGAGACAGAAAGACCATTCGTTCGTTTTGGGACCCATCTCCACTCACAGACGCGCCGTTACGAAGGTGCACAGGTAGCGAATTTTATCGTGCGTATATTTCCGTCGATCATAATATCATGTGATCAGTACAAATGGCGGACCGCCACTGAGAGGACATGCCTTGACATTAAATTTGATTGGTTGAAAGGTATCGGTCGCCCTATAGATCACCCATGTGAAAATTGAAGTTTTTAATTCAAAATTAATTTTCTCCTATGTCGTGGACACCCGCTGGATGACTGGAAAATTCAGTAACATACAAGAAGGTGCCTTTCTTTTCTATAATATTTCTGAGAGCTATAAAGATATCGATACGGTGTCACCAGCTAAACTGAAGTGTTCTCATGTCGATCGCTATACTCAGCAATCGAATTCGATCCCCTTTGAATAGATCCTGCGTACGCCACTGCCCCCCCCCCCCCCCCCTACCCCTCGCATTGAAAAAGCGATCTGCGTCCCTGATGCTGATGTAAGCTGTGAATACTATGGCCGTTTATCTAAGCTGAACAGATACCATTTTTACACACGCTGTTTGGCACCCGAAATGGCGAATCTGTTCCTTTGAGTCTTTTTTTTTTAGATGGGCACTAGTGACAGAGTTTAAAAGATTGCCTTTACGATTCATTTGTCTCATTCGTTCATTAAGCAATGAAAACAATAATACGCTGCAGCCGAGTGTGCTTCATTATGTGAGTTTAATAATTTTTGAAAACTAGTAATAAAACGGAATAATTGTTTAATTATGTGAAATTTAACCATTTGATATTTGTAATATATAGTATCTCTAATGAATGTTTTTTTGAAGATGTAAATCAATTTGTACGGACATTTTTCTTTTCTTTCAAATATTATTCAATTTAAATTTGTATCGTTTCGGAAAAATCTGACTTCGATCCACAATTTGCCAACATGGCCGACTTAAATAAGAATTTACAAAGTTATTTATCCAGATCTTCCAGTACTCAGCCTCTGATCGATGGATCGTCGGGAAAACCGACGTCCAGGATGCCAGGAATGGCATGGTTCAGAAAACCTCCTACTGAGGAAGATATGATGTCAAATGAATCAGCAAATGCCTGGTTTCAGCAAGCCCAGAACGACCCGCTTCTTCCGAGTTTGGTAGGCCTTTTGTATTTGGGGGCATGTAGTGGTTCCCCCCTTTACAAGTTCCTGCCTAGTAGTCCCCCCCCCCCCCCTCCCCACCTCCCCAGTAATTTCCACCTCTTTTTAATCCTACTGGATATATATTTAAATAATATAATATATTGTGAATGTATACATCTAAAATGAAATTAAATATGTTATTAAATCAATTTCTCCATCTTTACATACTGGTACCCTACTAAGCTTACATTACAGTCAAGTAACCTAATTTCGTGGAAACCTGTTATTCGTAGATTTTCGGAAATGATTAATATTTTACGTGAGCGACCTCCGCATTAGTTTATTTTAATAATAATGGGTTTCCTGTACAATGTCAGCTAGTAGAATGAATCCAGTAATTTCAAGCAAGGTAAAATGTATTAATGTATACTTTGACAAATACTAAATGGCGGATTTCACTTATTACCAAACGTCACCATTTTTTATCGGCCAAATTTCATTATAATCCCGAGCGGTAATCAGAATTCCAAGTGTCGTCAGCTAGAATATAATCCAACGAATGAAGTCACGTGATCAACTAGGGGATAGTGTGTCAGCAGAAAATTTCTATGGAATACAAAGTGGACCATATTCTTATGTTGTTTCAGTGACTTTTAGCAATAAATCATGATACGTATCATTTTTTGTCAGTCACTATTTTTTTTTTAAATCGTGGTTCTTTGTAGGAATTGTTACTAGTTATAATGAATTGATATTAAAGATAAATACTAAGAGAAGTTAATTATACCACCCGGTATCCATACAAGATGTTTTTCTAGACTTATTTATAGATCAAACATTGTACACGAAAATAGGTGACGCATTCTGCCGCAGTTCCCCAGTTGGTTGCTCATGAAATATGGGTCAAAGTTAAGGATTCATTAAGAAAATCGAAATAAACCAATTTCTATTATTTTGTAGAATATCTGAGGAAATATCTAAGACACAAAATTTTTTTTTCGTTTTTTTAACTTTGACGAAATTCGGTGTTGAATCCTTATATCCACGAAAAATAGGTTACACCACTCTATATATAGGGAAGGAAACCACTGGGGTGAAACCACTTTGGAAGAACTTGTAAAAGGGGGAAACCACTGTAACCGCCTATAGTATTACAAAAATTGTGAATTGTGGGCTTTGACCCTTAACCCTGCATCAACTTCTTGTTGACCAAGACTTCATAGTTCATGAAGACTAAGATAAAATAGTCAACAAACAAATTTCTAGTTGTAAGAAATCAACCTGTCTGAATATTATTGGCTTAATTACAACATAGTTGAAATAGGTCTACAGTTGTTGGACTTTAGAATAGATAATTATACTAACTCTACAAGTTGAACCTATATTTGTGCATATTAGGATTTATTTCCTAAAATTTTCTCAAAATTAAAAAAAAAATTTCTTTTAGCCTATGTCTTAGATGTTTCTTTAGATATTCAATAAAATAGTTAAAATTGGCTTGTGTCTTTTTTCTTTGTGGATCCCTCACTTTGAACCACATGTCATGAGAAAACAACTCGACAACGGCTGCAAAATATGTCACCTATGTTTGTGAAATATGTTTGATCAATAAGTCATGCTAGAAATGTCTTGTTTAAATGCAGATAACCAGTGATATAAAGTTCTTTTCTTAGTACCGGTATTTATCTTTAATACCAATTAATTATAACTAATGACAATTCTTTCGAAGATCAACAACTTACAATATTTTTAAGATTTAAGATGTTGTGGGCCATTGATATTTTCTGCTGACATGGAATCTACTAGTTTGTTACTTTACTTTGTTCACTTCAATATATTCTGGCAGACGACATTTGGAATTCCAATTACAGCATGGGATTATAAGGAAATTTGGCCGATGGTATTTGGTACCTTAATAACTAAAATTCGCTATTTTTATAATGTTAAAACAAGTAATAGATTTGACCATGCTTGAACAAAAAATTCTACGGGTTGATGTTGTAGAGATAACCCATGATTATCAAAATATGCAAATGAGGAGGTTGCACATATGAATAATATATCATTTTCAAAGTTACACAAATTACAGTGCTCATGAAATTGGGCCACCAGACTGTATATATTTCAATTTGTAACCCAGGATTAGCAAACTGTGGATCAGAAGCCACTGACACAATTTTCACAATTCGTACTAAATAATTTATTCAATAGTTGTACCTGTCATTTCTTATTTCATTAATGAAATTTATTTTTGATGTTGCATTGTCTTTAATAATTCAACTTAAAGGATTCTTCAACCATTGAGATTGTTTTTCAGGGCAAACAACAGAGAATCATTGGTTTTATTGTTTGTTTATTAATGGGTACTTTTTGTTTTTCACTGGTAAGTATTTTTAACTCACTTCCAGGATTTTTAGTGAACTTTATTTTATTTAATATAAAAGATAGCTTGCCAAGCAAGGTAACATACACCCACTACCAGTTGTCAGAAATGATAACAAAGTCTGTAGTGGTTTAATAAATGACACCAATCATCCGATTGTTACTAATTTTAAGCTTTACTGAACTTGACCGAAATCTCATCAATATATACATACATACTATGGATCAAAATAGTAGCCTTTATCGAGCTTACAAGGCAAATTTATCCTATTTTTACTAAATCTAGGGCAATTACTCTGAAACCGTCCGATTAGTACCAATTTAGAACTTGACTGAGGTCTTATCAATATCTACAAGCATACTAAATTTCTTCAAGATCAAGTAAATTTTTAGCCATTATTATGGATACAAGTCAAATTTAATGCGTTTTTACTAAGTCAAGGGCAATAACTCTGAAACTGTTTATCCGATTATTACCATTTTCAAACTTGATTGAGATCTCATCAATATATACATGCATCCCAAGTTTCATCAAGATCAGATAAAGATAGCTTGCCAGGCAAGGTAACATACGCCCACTGGCAGCTGTCTTAAACAATCTTTAGCACTCTTACGTGTGGGCGTATAAAAATTGCAACCTTTATCGTGCATACAAGCCAAATTCAACGCATTTTACTAAATCAAGGGCAATAACTCTTAAACCGACCATCCGATTAGTACCAATTTAGAACTTGACTGAGGTCTTATAAATATCTACAAGCATACTAAGTTTCATCAAGATCAGATAAAAATTTCAGTCTTTATCGTGCATAAAGGCAAATTCAACACGTTTATACTAAATCAAGGGCAATAACTCTGAAACCATTCTTCCAATTAGTAACAATTCAGAACTTTTAGGTCTTTTAAATATCTACAAGCATGCTAAGTTTCATCAAGATCAAATAAAATTTTTAGCCTTTATCATGCATACAAGCCAAATTTTATGCGTTTTTACTAAGTCAAGGACAATAACTCTGAAACAGTTCATCTGATTATTACCAATTTCGAACTTCACCCAGATCTCATCAATATATACATGCATATTAAGTTTCATCAAGATCAGCTGTAGTCTATATCGTGCATACAAGAAATGTGGACAGATGGACAGGGGCACTGGTAATATACGTCCACATTTCCATGTGGGCGTATAAAAACAGACCTAGGCTCATAAAGGAAACCATGGATATCATTGATATTGTTTAATCACATATATTAATTAAGAGATATAACTTATTATTTTTTTCAGGCTGGACTATATCTGCCAATGTTAGCATTTAAAGCTAGAAAATTTGCTGCCTTGTACACCTTAGGAAGTATTTTTGTCATTTCATCGTAAGTAAAAATTTAAATATTTTCGGTCCGTCCGTTCACATTTGGCTCGTGCTCACTCTACAGGCTACAGTTCTTTATGGATTCTTTTGATTTTTATTTTGTATGTCAATGTTGTTATGAAGATGATCCCTATTGATTTTCGTGATGATCGGATAATTTTTCACCGAAATATCGTGTCTGACTTGATTTTTTACTCTATTAGCTATATTGTGCAACTCGTGCTCACTCTACAGGCTACAATTTTTTACAGATTCTTTTGATTTTTATTTTGTGTGTCAATGTCATTATGAAGATGATCCCTATTGATTTTTGTGATGATCGGATAATTTTTCACCGAAATATCGTGTCTGACTTGACGTTTTTCTCTATTAGCTATATTGTGCAACTCGTGCTCACTCTACAGGCTACAATTTTTTACAGATTCTTTTGATTTTTATTTTGTGTGTCAATGTCAATATGAAGATGATCCCTATTGATTTTCGTGATGATCGGATAATTTTTCACCGAAATATCGTGTCTGACTTGATTTTTTACTCTATTAGCTATATTGTGCAACTCGTGCTCACTCTACAGGCTACAATTTTTTACAGATTCTTTTGATTTTTATTTTTTGTGTCAATGTCATTATGAAGATGATCCCTATTGATTTTCGTGATGATCGGATAATTTTTCACCGAAATATCGTGTCTGACTTGACGTTTTACTCTATTAGCTATATTGTGCATCTCGTGCTCACTCTACAGGCTACAATTCTTTACAGATTCTTTTGATTTTGTATGTCTATGTCGTTATGAAGATGATCCCTATTGATTTTCATGATGATCTATCGATTTTCATGATGATCGGATAATTTTTCACCGAAATATCGTGTCTGACCTGACGTTTTACTCTATTAGCTATATTGTGCAACTTGTGCTCACTCTACAGGCTACAATTGTTTACAGATTCTTTTGATTTTTATTTTGTATGTCAATGTCATTATGAACATGATCCCTATCGATTTTCGAGATGATCGGATAATATTTCACCGAAATATCGTGTCTGACTTGACGTTTCACTCTATTAGCTATATTGTGCAACCCTGTAGTCACTAAAGACTGTTTAATCATTTCTGACAGCTGCCAGTGGGCGTATGTTACCTTGCCTGGCAAGCTATCTTTTTTTTTTTTTTTTCGAATTTTACCTTCGCTTGTTTTCTAAGATGGCAACATGCCACAGACTGTATGTTGTTGTTTTCTGGTCAAAAAAATGAATAATTATTTGTTAAATGTAAATTGGCACCAGTTTGACCAACCGGAAATGAGCCATGGACAATGGCTAAAACTGATTTTTGAATTTTGATTTTGCTCTTTATTTATTTCCGGTTGAAAAATATGAATACTTTGAAGGATCGTATATCGTGACCTTGACCTATGGTGATCATGTGACCCGAACAATTTTGATAGCTCTCGACGAGATCTTTCCAATAGTATATTAACGTTTATTGTACGGTGTTTACTTCCAATTTTATCACCATTTGAAATTGATAAATTTTATCTTGAAAAAGTCGGTTTTCCTCTTGTAAGTTTTTTTGTGGTCTAAACGATAAAGGTAGTTTGCTCCCTTCAACTGTTGTTGAATGCAATGTGAGTTGAAGCGATTTGTCGAATATGCTTTGCATTTGGGCGATCTATATCCAGTTGATTATGATAGGAAATTATGTTACTGTTACGATACTTTGCGGCACAGTTTTAAGCTTAAAATCAAAACTGTTACGCACTGCATCAGAACCTCGCGAAGCCTGTGGATCTAGTTTTGTTTTGTTTACATTTCTTTCATTTCAGGTTTTCATTTTTATGGGGCCCAGTTCACCACGTAAAGCATCTATTTTCTGGTCCCAGATTACCATTTACTATAGCTTATTTTGGTACTATGTTTGCAACATTATATTTTTCTTTATGGGTATGTGGATAGATAATTTTCATTCATACATTATGGATTATTGCTGCAGAAAGAACTGCAGATAGGATTTACTTCAAGATAGTTTGAATACAATCATTTAACAAAATAGTTATTTTCTCAAAAATTGTTTTAAAGAAACCCACAAATTATAGAATACAAATAGTTTGTATATGCATGTGGTTTTATTTTTTTATCTTTTTTATTATGATTCATTTTCTGTTTGTTATTTTGTAGGTTCATAAGACATTATTTACAATCATATTTGCATTTGCCCAAATAATAGCTTTAGTGTGGTAGGTAAATTTAAAAAAGTTAACAGTAATATTTTGTGTCAGATCTTAGTATTTAGAAGTAATGTGTCAGAAGCTCTCAAATCTAGTGATATTGATAGATCTTTGTTTTTGTATACCTAAACATATGATAATGAATCACATCCAATGCCCACTATCATGTAAATTATGAACCACCAAATAGAGCTATATTTTCTATCATAATGTCTAGACTTTGACATTTGTTTTTGCAAGTGAATGTTGTACTTCGGTCATGTAGGATTATATCTTATAATTGTCCGCCAGCATATATTCCTGTCATTTCAAAGTTTAACCCAATCAAATCTATTTCAGGTATTTTGTGAGCTACATACCAGGAGGACAAACAGGACTGAAATTTTTTACTAAAGTATTCTACGCAGCCGCATCAAAGACAGTAAATGCAACACTACCAGTGTGATGATAAGTCTTGCATTTCTGGAAAGGAAATGTATTGTGATATTATTGTATAAAGATGAGTTTTATCATGTATTTGAAAGCTCAAATGGGGACACAATTCAAAGCATAAGCATATTCAGGATTGTGAGTAGATTTTGATGTTCTGTGTATAATAATGAAAAAAGGAATTGTATATAATGATTAAATTATTGTAATTGTTTCTATAAAATGTATAATCATGATGATGGTGATAAAATAGTATTATTTTAACAGTTCTGTTTTGTCTTCCCTTTATCTTTTAAGGTCTTTCCTACATTTTGACCAAATATTTCATCAAAATGGTTTATTACCACATCACCCCTTCCAAATTCACACCAAATCTCATCGTATCCAGAATACAGGTTGTGACACAGAATGGGGGTGTGGTTTGCGCACTTGGCCCTAATCCATTCACATTGCGCCCCTTCCTAATTCGTCCCTTTCTTTACTATTCTGCCATTGTGTCCTTATCCTATTCGACCCCTTCTCATTTTTCCCCTGACAATTCCTATGCCTGCTCCATAATTTGCAAACCTCAATATTTTTTTTTTATGGTCTGGAAAATACTGGACCTATCCTCATCTAGCATTGCGGTTTACTCAGATACAATTGTTGATTCGTTTCTGAGTCCAGTGCTAGGGCCATTCCGCTTTTTTCGTAGGTTGATTTTTTTTTTGCTCAAATTTGTGAAAACTATAAACCAAATCTATAGAAATGTATCCAATAATGTATCTGAATGGTTTAACTAAAAAATCCAGCGGCTAAATTTTTAGCGCCACGAAACTATATTTTGATAATGAAAATGGTTAACTTTCTTGTACCAGTACGAATGTTATTTATCTAATTATATGCCTTTTATAATACGTAGGTGAAACTTCTCTGAGAGAAAGAATTAACTGCCATCATTTCGAAATCTCAGAATGAGCTACCACCGTCATTTACAAAAAACTAGTAGTAGCCTACTCCAAAAAATAAAAAACCTGCAGGATATTATGGAAGGCGGAATGACTTTTTATTCAATCATCTTCATTTCTATTTCTTTATTCTTAATTCTAAATTCTTATTTCTTAATTCAACATTTATCATTGAAAATTGACATTTGTATACAAAACTCATAATTTGTACTGAAAATGAACATTCTTCGATTTAAAACATTTGGTTTTCCAATTATGAAAAGGCGGCCAAATTTAATTGTCTTCAGGTATTGAACATAGGCCTAATAGAAAGTTATGATGATGCCCAGCTAGCACTAGTTCGCAATCATCGTAAAGGTAACATAAAATAATGTTAGAAAAAAGTATCTCTGGAGGTGTGGAAATTCCCCATTTAACAGGGACAACTCCTACAATAAATATTAAATATATAAACATCATATCTTCTAGCTAGAGTTTTACTGATATCATATACATAATCTTCTATACTCCTACAATAAATATTAAATATATAAACATCATATCTTATAGCTAGGGTTTTACTGATATCATAAACATCATCTTCTATACTCCTACAATAAATATTAAATATATAAACATCATATCTTATAGCTAGAGTTTTACTGATATCATATACATAATCTTCTATAGGGTCTTTTTCTTCTGACTCAACCGCAGTTACTGTCAAAATCCACCAGAGGCAGGTATTTCGGACTACCCTAGACCATATTAAATTGAGCTGTAAACTGTTACCCTATGGGGTTGTGTGGAAAATTAATCATAAATTGCGCGAATGTAAATATACTAGGGTCTATCATCTATGCACAATGATTTCGATCTCCTTATTCCAATTTTACGCGTGCATCTAAACCGGATGTATGCCTACATTACGACGATGTCAAATGAGTTCAAAATATATGAAAAGATGACGGAGAAGCTGAAAAGTGAATGTAAATATTGAACTAATTTTAGTAATTAACACTTTTGTTCGAGAAAATGATAATGGTCGTAACATATGTATTTCTATAATTAATGACAGTGGCGACCTAGCTTGTTTGTAATTCTTTTGACTTAGTTGACTGATTTGGATGATCACCTTTTTGCACCAAGTCCAAAATTTATTCAAGCCTCATAAAGCTATTTTGACAGATGTTGTTGACTGGAGTAGAGTTAGAATAAATAGGATCTGTTTCCCACCTTCAAAGGTGCAGGAATTTTCAAAATATAGTTCCCAACAAATTTGCCAACCCTATTTGTAATTCAATCATTTAATATTTTATGGGGTAGGCTAAGCATTAACCGTTCAAACTCATTTTGGCTATATTGCCAGCACTTTTTTTATACAGTGGTGTAACTTATTTTCGTGCACATAAGGATTCAACACCACATTTCGTCAAAGTTAAAAAAACGAATTTTTTTTTTTATGTCATAGATGTTTCCTCAGATATTCTAAAAAATAATTAAAATTGGTTCAAAGAACCACGATTTAAAAAAAAAATATTGACTGACAAAATAAGATATGTAGCGTGATTTATTGCTAAAAGTCACTGAAACAACATGATATGGCCCACTTTGTGTTCCATAGAAAATTTTCTGCTGACATGGAATCCGCCAGTTGATCATGTGACTTCATTCCTTGCACTACATTATAGCAGACGACACCTGGAATTCCAATTATTGCTTGGGATTATAAGGAAATTCGGCCGATAAAAAATGGTGACGTTTGGTAATAATTGAAATCCGCTATTTTGTATTTGTCAAAGTATACATTAATACACTTTACCTTGCTTGAAACTACTGAAGTCATTCTACTAGCTGATATTGTAGAGATAACCCATGTTTATCAAAACAAGTTAATGTGGAGGTCACATGAGGTCACACATGTAAATTATTAATCATTTCTGGAAATGCACGAAAAATAAGTTAGCACGAAATTAGGTTACTTGACTGTATGTAAATAATCTTCAGAACTACTAAAACTGTACGAAAATTGCAAAATTCTCTCAAATAGACTTCAAACAAGCTTATCTTCTCTCTGAAATATGGGGTATTTGAAAGTTGAATGTGTTGTTGACACCAAGACTCATCTGTTGAGCTGTGCTTAGACAAAGTGGGATAGGATGATTGAGTCTACTGTATACACATGACGTCATCAACAAATTTCCAAAATAAAAAGTCTCTATAAACATCGACTAGTTGAAATTACCTTCAAAAATAGATACCGGTACAAGTAATTAAGGATGCACTTGGATTTGAAGGCTCAAATGTGAGCATTATTACCGGTACTGATTAGTTTACCAGAACAATTCACATTTCTGAAACTAAGGTATGATTTACTCCCAGAAATGCTGCAGCAGTCCCTTCAACATCAACTTGTACAGCTTGTACATTATTGATCACCATTAAACACTTATTTGAAATTATTCATGATTGGTATTCTATTATTTCAGCTGACACTGTATCTCTAGATGAATTCAGCTTACCATTTTTCAAACAGCTATCAGATGCTGGTCAGTTTTCACTTGCTGCATTGTGTTCAGTTTCACTACGAATCTTATTTGAAGAAGAAAGTAATGAGTGAGTTTTACTATATAGATTGAATAAAATTTGCCATTAAAAGTCTCAGATATGAAAAAGATACATATCCTTATAATACATAAACAAGACCAAGAAATATCTTATCAATACTCATCAATTTTGTGGAGAATTGAAAATAAACAGTAAATATCCACATATAGCATCAACATAACTGAGGCTTCATTATGTAGCAACATAACAAGTAGTAAAAAGTTACATATATTATGTTTTGTACTAACATTGTACATAGCAGTGACATGATTTAAATAATTATGAATGTGAGAGAAATAACCATTCCAATCATTATTTGATAAATATTCAATGTTAAACTATGTATAGTTTAGGATATCTGTTGATGTGCATATTGTTTTAAATTATTCTTTAAATTTCAGCAAATTTAAGAAGGCTACCCTTGCTTTATTATTGAAGTATGCTAAACAACCGGATCAGGTGAGGTTTCCTAGTGCTGTCTATACCACTTTGAATGAACCTAAATGAATCTAAAGAAAGATAAACAAGCCTTTCAACTTCTTCCCTTTTCATACGCCCACATGAAATGCGGTGGCGTATATTGTCGTCACCCATGTCTGTCCGTCCATCCATCAGTCTGTCAATAATTGCTCGCAAACACACCACAAGGCACAATTCTTGACTGATTTTTCGACGAAACTTGGTATGGTTTTTTGTAATCACCCAAGGGTGAACCCTATTAAAAATTACAAAAATCGAAAAATATTTAGTATAAGTTATTGCCCTTGTTCTTGAAACGCCAGTAAACACTCTAGAAGGTGTAATTTTTGACCGATTTTGATGAAACTTGGTATGAGTGTTTGTTATCACCCAAGGATGAACCCTATTTAAAATCCGAAAGATCGAAAAATAATTAGTATGAGTTATTGCCCTTGTTCTTAAAAACACGCTCAAGTTTTAGCCTGTAAACACTCTAGAAGGCTCTTGACAGATTTTGATGAAACTTGGTAATTCTAAACAATTATGTACTGGAAAATAAAAAATTAACCATCACCATATTTGTATAAACTACATAAACAATTTTCTTTACATATATTCAAGGCCCAAATCGACTTCCTATAATTAACGATGTTCATGTAATGTAATTGTTACATCATAGGTACGGGACTCAGTATTAGCATTATTAGAAGGTCAAGGAATGGACAGTACGGACCCATATGTTGATATTTTATTAATGGATGATGTTATAAAACAGAATGGAAATGCTGAACCACTAGTTAATGATTTAATAGCTATGGCTATTAAAGAGGGCTGCTATGATTCCAGATTACGTGTGTTAATTAAACACGTCACCTGGCAGTTACGAGTTACCTGGGATCAAATGGAAGAGATAGAGAATGCACTAGCTCAAACTCTGGCTGAAGCACAGTATCACATGTCAGAGTAGGTATATTTCTTGTTACAAAGGAAAATTGATTGGCTTTAAAGGGATTGTAGAAAGGTTTTATATTTTTTTTCTGACGATATTCAGTTAGACGTCTGTGGTTCCTGCGATTTTTTTGCGTTTTATGACATCACTGATGTCAAAATATGCTTAATCACACAAGGCCCTTCGCAATTAGTTACGTCATCAAACACTTGGTTTTAGTGGAATTCAAGGAACCTCAGATATGCAATTGATGCTATCAGAGTCCCCGATACACATAAAGAATTTAGAAAACCTGTTACAATCCCTTTTAAGATGCTTATTTTTTATCATTGAACTTTTTGAAAAGGTTTTTGCACCCTTTTTTAGTATACATTGATCAAATGTCTGATATTACACATAATATATAGTATATTTCTAATGATTAATTCAAAGCAAAATTCTAGAAATTTAATTTATTGACATTGTAAAGTAGGATAGTTTTTGTGTCATAAGTAATAACTTGATTCACATTTAAAGCCATAACCATTTCTTCAATTTTTGCTTATTTTGTTTATAGTGATGAGAACAAGGAAAAGTTAAAGAAAGCTAGAAATAGTAAATTAAAGAGATATGCATTGATTGGATTAGCTACAGTTGGTGGTGGTACATTGATAGGTTTGTACCAGTTGACAAAATATTTCAATAACATTTTTATACGCCCACACGTAAGATGGGCATATATTGTAATCACCCCGTCGGTCCGTCACTCTACAGGCTACAGTTCTTTATGGATTCTTTTGATTTTTATTTTGTATGTCAATTTTGTTATGAAGATGATCCCTATTGATTTTCGTGATGATCTGATAATTTTTCACCGAAATATTGTGTCTGACCTGACGTTTTTCTCTATTAGCTATATTGTGCAACTCGTGCTCACTCTACAGGCTACAATTTTTTACAGATTCTTTTGATTTTTATTTTGTGTGTCAATGTCATTATGAAGATGATCCCTATTGATTTTCGTGATGATCAGAAAATTTTTCACCGAAATATCGTGTCTGACTTGACGTTTTTCTCTATTAGCTATATTGTGCAGCTTGTGCTCACTCTACAGGCTACAATTTTTTACAGATTCTTTTGATTTTTATTTTGTGTGTCAATGTCATTATGAAGATGATCCCTATTGATTTTCGTGATGATCGGATAATTTTTCACCGAAATATCGTGTCTGACTTGACGTTTTTCTCTATTAGCTATATTGTGCAACTCGTGCTCACTCTACAGGCTACAATTTTTTACAGATTCTTTTGATTTTTATTTTGTGTGTCAATGTCATTATAAAGATGATCCCTATTGATTTTCGTGATGATCGGATATTTTTCACCGAAATATCGTGTCTGACTTGACGTTTTACTCTATTAGCTATATTGTGCAACTCGTGCTCACTCTACAGGCTACAATTCTTTACAGATTCTTTTGATTTTTATTTTGTATGTCTATGTCGTTATGAAGATGACCCCTATTGATTTTCATGATGATCTATCGATTTTCATGATGATCGGATAATTTTTCACCGAAATATCGTGTCTGACCTGACGTTTTACTCTATTAGCTATATTGTGCAACTCGTGCTCACTCTACAGGCTACAATTCTTTACAGATTCTTTTGATTTTTATTTTGTATGTCAATGTCATTATGAAGATGATCCCTATCGATTTTCGCGATGATCGGATAATATTTCACCGAAATATCGTGTCTGACTTGACGTTTCACTCTATTAGCTATATTGTGCAACCCTGTAGTCACTAAAGACTGTTTAATCATTTCTGACAGCTGCCAGTGGGCGTATGTTACCTTGCCTGACAAGCTATCTTTGATCTTGGAGCAGTCACAGTAGCTTTGTGTCCAAACCACCCTCCCATTTGTCATACTTCCTTGAAACCGTGGTAATATTAGTGAGAGAAATTACATATTCATAGCTAAATTTTGACCGATCAAAATTGGCCCTGAAATCTTAGTACTGAAATGTCGGCCAATCAAATCAAATATTTTTGCTCTCTGAAGGAAAAGATTCAAACTTGGAGACGACAGTGGCTTTCAACTAATCGTTTTTATTACTTAGTGTTGGAAGGTAATATGGACCATCATTGTGGTTTTAAGATGATAGTATTTTGAGTAGTTTGATGAATGGAATATTTCAGGATTAACTGGAGGTCTGGCAGCACCACTAGTTGCAGCAGGAGCCGGTGCCATTATAGGTGGTGCTGGAGCTGCAGTACTAGGAACCACAGCTGGTGTAGCTATTATTGGTTCTTTATTCGGTGTTGCAGGAGCTGGATTGGCAGGTACAAATATTATTTATACATAATAATATACTCCTGCATTATAATATGGTTACAGTGTACATTGTCGTTACTTTTGTCTATCTTTCTGTCCATAATTGCATGTGAACAAGATAGAGATGGTTTTGGTCAAATTTTGATGATTGCTTATTGTTTATGATATACAAGGTGAAATGATTCATTGATTGATTTTTTTTTATTATTGCTCAAAAGTGAATAAAGGGTAACCAAAATACCCCCAATATTGTTTGTTGTAATGCTGATCAGTTTTGGATAATTTAAATTTGACCATGTATTTGTTATGTGAAGGATATAAAATGAGAAGAAGAGTTGGTGCTATAGAAGAGTTTATGTTTGAACCAGTTGTATCAGGTCAAGCTTTACAATCAGAGAGTATAACAAAACAACTACACATTACAATAGCTATTACAGGATGGTTATCATCTAAAGTCAGAGGTATAATCTCTCATATTTTTCCAATGTAATGCCCCTTCAGTTGCTAAGTATTACCAGGTGAGATTCATCATGTTGAATAGTGAATGACTAAAAATGGAACAAGCCTGATAAAAGTATCCTTAAGTGTTTACCATAAATACAAATGTCAAAATAAATCTTATATGGCACATTTATTTCAAAATATATATTTTTAGGTGTTTTTCTAAATCATAAATATTTGATAATTACATTTCAGATTTTCGACAGCCATGGCAGTCATTAGCAGAGTCCAAAGAACAATACAGTTTAAAATGGGAATCAAAATATCTTGATGAATTGGGCAAATCATTTGAATATATCACTAGTATGGCGGTTTCTATGGCTGCACAAGAGGCCTTAAAATACACAGTTCTTTCAGGTAAGTTTCAGACTGTGTAATTCTTATCAATGGCTATGAAAGTAAAATACTTTTTACCGAGTGTCTTTTGTTGATATGGCTTTTATAAGATGACATCAAAATATCTTCCATTTTCAATCTATTTTGATGAAAAATGGTATAAGCCCAGAATTGATCAAAATAATTCATTAAAATGCCTTCCAATTCTTAGAAAAAGTATCTTGCACTTTTCCTCTAAAAAGTGAAATTTGTCTATCAATTTTTGTGGAAACTAAAAATTAATGCTTTTGTTGCAATAGAATTACATGTTTTTTTTTTAATTTGGCAATTGGTGACATTAACATAAGTATTGAAACGGTTAGTGAATTTTACGAAGCGGGTAATCGTAGGCAATAACCGTTTGTTACCCGGTTGTTTACTAAAGATTATAAAAGGAGTCAAAAACCACATTTGCGGCGGTAACTCACCTGTACCTAAACTAGAGTAAGTGTAAATGAGTACCCAGGAAGATTTTGGCTAGTTCCCCTCGAATGTCAGCACAAATCGGCAGATACCAAACAAGCTTCAATGTAATATTACGAGCGGGTCTGATAGAGTTCAGGAAGGACTAGCGCCATTGTCACTCATTGCTACATTCTCTAACAGATCAAAGGTTTTTATACCGGTCAGTGTAATGCGTGTATCTTACTGAAGTCGCCGCGAATCGGTGTACTGGTTCCACAACTGGCATAAAACTATTGTCGCAATAAATCCGTACTCATGAATATTAATAAGATTGAAGCTGATTGACAGGCAAGAAGAAACAAACGACAGGCAAGAAAAAACAAACAGCCAATTAGAGGAGAGTTAATAAAAAGTAATACTATCTTTATAACTGTTTTCATCCTAAGCAACTCGTACTCGATTGAAATAATAAAAATAATAACAAAACTCATTAAAACACTAGAACATGCTTTAAAAACACTGTGTTACATTTCCGCAATACAATAAAAGTAATAACAAGATTCAACGAACCGTGGCGCATGCCGAACGTCTGATAATGATTACAGTGCTTATTTGTTTAACCTAATTAACATAATGGTGCACACGGCGACTGCGATTATCCAGAACGAGTAATTAGTTGAACTTATATCAAAAAAGAGGCTTGATAATCTTGACCACAATTCTTGCAACTCGTTAGTGTTTTGATAATTGATATCCTATCTTGATTTATTAATCTGAATTATTCAATCAGTAAAGATGTTTATTTACTAAAGAAAACAGCTAAAAGACTCATACAGTGACGAATTTTCTGTCTTTTTACTTCTTATAAAATTGATGGTTAACCGATTATCTCAAATCAGACCCGGTTACCCGTGAAATACTACCCGAAATTGGTTAACTGATTAACCGTTTCAACACTAATTAACATACAGAGTACCTCAATATTGAATATGCTTTTGCTTCTTTATTTTGCAACAGATTTTCATAAAGCTGGCTTGTATGTAGAGTTCTCAAATTCATTAGACAATATGAGATTAATTCAGTCTTTCTTTGAAAGTTAACTCATGGTGGAGCCAAAACAAACTGTGCCAAGGCATCACAATCAATTTTATTCATTATAATGAATTAAATGTGACTTATTATCTGAATTGTTTCTTGCATACAAGTTGTAAAAAATTCCTCAATTTATTTTTATATAGGTTTGATTGCAGCAATAGCCTGGCCGGCAACTCTATTATCAGCTGCTAATGTTATAGATAATCCCTGGAGTGTATGTTTACATAGAGCTAATGCAGCCGGAAGACAATTAGCAGAAGTATTATTAGCTAGAGAACAGGTAAATCACCCATAACAAAAACATTCATGGTATTGATAATCAGTTAGTATATCCTTATTTCAGTTGATTTGAAATCAAATTATAAAAGTAGTTCCTTACCAAAATATGATAATGAAATCTTTTCTTTACAGGGTAATCGTCCAGTAACATTAATAGGCTATAGTTTAGGAGCAAGGGTTATCTTCTCCTGTTTAGAAGAGCTTACTAAACGTAAAGGTAGTGAGGGTATTATAGAAGATGTGATATTATTGGGTGCTCCAGTATCTGGTGATGTTAAACATTGGGAGCCTTTAAAATTGGTTGTTGCTGGTAAAATTGTTAATGGTTATTGCAGGTGGGTACTGTAATTGTTTTAGGAGCAAAAGCATGCTCGCTACTGAAGATGAGCAATACCTCCATTTACATACTGCCAGAGTGAGCCATCATAAAGGGTCAGCTTTTCCTGCCCATGTCCGTAATTAATGGATAAAACTTTTCATTCTTGTCATTGAGTAAGCATATCAATATATGACTAGTGTAAATATGAATACTATGATAATTAATGACAAGATGGGGTAAGAGACTTACAAACACTAATATGAACTGAAGTGAATAACTTCATAACATGTGCTTATTTTTGTTTTTTTAGAGGTGATTGGTTGTTAAAGTTTTTATATAGAACATCATCAGTACAGTTTAGAGTTGCTGGGTTAAAACCAGTAAAATGGGACAATAGAAGAATGCACAACATAGATCTCAGTTCTGTGGTAAATATTATATTATTTGTAGTTGAATTTAGAACTAAGGAAACAAGCCTTTAAAAGCATATCCTAATTATCTCAGTCAGATACTAAGTAATGCACTTGACTATTATAACAATTATGAGATTCAAAGTTCTACATTTATAATAATGGTTAAGGAAGAACCTTGTTTAAGATTTTAACAGAATATTGCTCTTTGACAAGCAATGGTATAGTGACCTTTAAATAACAGACACTGAATTGTCTGATTTTCATGATGAGGTCTGCTACAATCTGTTATAGTTAGTGTGTTTTTTGAAAGGTAAATGGACATATGGATTATGAAAGACAGTTACCTACTATAATGAAAGCTGTGGGTGTAAGAACTAGAGATGAAGTCAAACCTAAGAAACCAACTTTCTCACAGAGTGCTCCTGTCACTCCTACCCACAATAAACAAAGTCTACATATTGAAGAGAGAGAAACAAAGAGTGAACCTGTTTCTCGAAGTCATACCACACAGGATATTGCTGGAGCGCAAGAAACTCTAGCAAGTACAACAGAAATAATAGGTAATGTAGCCATTCAACCTGAAGCTAATGAAAAAAATAATAAAGTGGAATCAAGAACAGGTGGGGAGTCAAAAACATCAGCTGCTTCCAGTTCAAAAACAGAAGATTCAAAGGAAGCCACATTTAAAAATCGACAAGATGTACTGAGTGAATTATCCAGATCTATTTCTGATGATTCTTACGCTGGCGTTTATCATTCTGAAAATAAATCAAAAGATAAACCACATAAATAAGTAAGAACTTGATAAATTTGATATTGTTATTGGCAATAAAGTGCTCATTATATCTATGCTACTGTAAGTTGTAGTATTATATATAGAAGTTAAATATATATTCTTGTTGATTTTTGTTAAAGATAATGTTGAAGATAAGCCATATTCTATATTCTTATATTTTTTAGTTCTAGTTCTCTGGATTTTCTCTTTTTCGTTACATATTTTGAACAACTGGATTTATATTAATTTATTGATATTACATTATTATTTTACAATTTCATGATACTTTCACTACAAGTCCTGTAGATAATTTGTTTTAAAACTATTGGATTTCTGGATACAAGACCATCAGCTGTGAAAGTATGGAAATAGGCTGTATACTATTTATTTCAGAATTTTATATTAAAATTCTTATATTATGAATATGAAACAATTATAAGAGCTACAAACGATATTTCTTTTGTAATTGATATGCACGGATCATTGTTTTTATACGCCCACATTAAAATGTGGTTGTATATTGTCGTTATTGTTATCATTTAAAAAAGTCATGTTATTGGAAATATTAAGTCAAATTATTGATCAATTTGGATCATTTTGGGTCACAAAATAGCGAAATTGAATCTGTAATAATATTCATTTGATATAGAATTGATGAGTTTGTTTTTTTAATCAGAAATGAATGGATTTTAATAGGTTTTATAAATTATGTAATTCATGCACTTACAGGGATATAGTAATCTAAACAAATTAGTAAGTTGAAAGAACTCAACTACAGCTTTCTGTCCTCTCAAGCTGTTTGTGATAAAACACAGACCTCACTTTTCAGAAATGAATTCTGAAGTATAGATTCTTGAAGTTTAGACCATTGACATGTCACTCACATCCTCACATGCAGATATTATGCATATTATGTCATCTGTATCTACACTTCAGAATGTAAATAACAAATTTAAATGTACATTTAATTTAAGTTTTTTATTGGGATAAGGATATTTTTTGACAACTATACTCCCCCATATTTCCATACATTTATACTCAGTAAATCAAAATTAAATATGAATTCCATATTGCATAGATCAGGTACCAATTAAATATGTGTATTGATTTATAATTGTTAGTTGTTTTAACAGTATTTTATATATGAAAAGTCCATCCAATGCTTAGTGCTCATTTATTCCTACATACTAGTGTATTTATGGACCATTTTTATTCTTGAATATAACTATATTTTTGCGAACTATGCATACATAAATAATTTTTTCAGTTTTATCCATGTCCGCTGTTTTCACATGTCCTAAGTCAAATCTTGAGCTATTTTATACTGAAATGAATATGTGGAAAATTGCTGTCACTCATTTTTCTTTATCTATATGAACGACTTGTAATGGACATAATTTCTTACGTATATGCTGTAGCATACCACTCAAGAAAGGTTTTACACCACTTTTATTTTTAAGTCAAGTTAGAGCTTTTGCTGAATATACAATGCAACGATTATAAGCAAATATTATGTCTTTATTAACCTAATGAAACATTCCTTTGATGAAAACCTGACAATGATCAGAAAATTTCAGATAAAACATTTTTATTTCACTTTTAGATTTAAATGGCTCTTAATTTAATGTAGGATGACCCTCAGCTTTTCGTCTTGTTGATCAACTGACAGTTTAAGGCACCCATATAAGTTTTGTCAGTGCACAACATTGTACTGACAATTTGGTGGGCCAAACAACAAGTTCTTGGCTTCATGAAGAGACAAAATTTCAGAAGCTGGCCTCAGTTTTGAAGAGCTTGCAATTTTATCAGAATTGTGATGTTTTTAAGCATTTATCCTTATTAAACACACACATCTTTGTGAATGCTGTTTCAATACTAAAAGAATATTTAATCTATTAATCCTCTCAATTTCAGCCAAATTTGACAAAATATAAATGAACTGTGTAACTTGCAGAACATGTACCAAATATGTTTTTTCAGGTTAAACTGCAAAATATTGTGTGTTAAGATGTTTTTAGATTGAATTAGGTAAAATAACCTTAAGAATCCACCTGGAACATTTACCTAAATAGCCAGAAATTGAATAATTTTCTACTTTTACCACAGTTAAAGATGAAAATCTGAATTCTAGATTTTAGCAATTTTAATTTTATGTAATGATGGATGATAAAAGTGGTGCAAATTTTTTCTTGAATATTAATAATACTAAGCCTAAATGTGTCAAAATCAGTCTGTGAACTTAGTAGTTACTACAGTCCAATTTGATGGAAATACATTCTTATAATGATATTATTAAAGAAGAGTTCGATTTTTGATGATTCAAGTATTAATTTCTATTCTTGTATGTTTTTCACTAAGAGGAAATGCTCTTTTGAAAATTTTTCTTGTCTATTATGTATGCATGGTGCTTTGTGAAAAACATATCCTTCAATCATTTCTATGATGTCAAATATCTATGTAATAAATGCCTTATTATCCTTTTGTTCGATACATGTTTAAAAATGCATGAAATGCTCAGTCTTCATACACAGACTGCCTTGGTCAGAGATTTTTGTCACTGACTAAAGTCAGTAGTTTCATCGACTGGCACGGACACACAAGGAGAAAAAAAATCTCCAGTTGGTTGTTTTCCACCATGTCGTTAAACACGTGCGGAGCATGTACTTGAAAGGAAAATGAATCTGATTTGATGCTGACGGTCTGTTTTGCAGGCAATAAAAAGTATTGTTTGATATTATATATATATTATACTGTCGGAGGCACATGCAAGATTCTACCCACGACTGCTTGTTAACCTTTAGAGTTAAATTTTTTCACGTATCTTGAGGTCACCAATCAACATCATCATCAGCCAATGATAAACATGAAGCTATGTGACTATCTATTTCTATTTGGTACACACTAAAAAAAAAAGAAATTAACATCAAATACAATTTTCATATGACTTATTATACAATCCTTTTTATGGCTGATCAGAGGCACAATTAAAAAGTAACCTACCTGGAAGGAAATGTTAATAAACAAATTGGACATAATGTGGTGGTGTTATTTGTAATACAAGATAGGTCTTCTGTAGGCCTACTGACTAGTTTATCAATGACCGTTTTATTCATCAGTTCTGTACACTTGGCAATATTTAATCCACCATCACCTATTTTCTTTCTCTTCGAATCACCTACAAAAACATCTAAGTTTTTTCTTTTGTAAGTATTTCCTTGCTCTTTCTGCACAGCAATGTCTATATCATAAATTGATTGTTCTGAGCTATCTACAGTGAAGTTGTAATCAGGTCTCTTTGATGTCAAATATTTCATACTAAATCGTTGTAAGGGAAGTAACTCTTCTGTACATGTATGACATGTTGGTGATGTAGTTTTAGTCTGAAATGTAGCCTACAAACATGTTCAGACTGTAAAATTCTGATCTGAAATAATTAAATCCTAATTCTATACTAAAAAAGCAGATTTTCTGATTCCTCAAGTACAGAGCCCCTAAGGCGCAATTGTAAACATATTTATTTATTATTTCGTTTAAACGAAATAACATCATTTATTATTTCGTTAAAACGAATTAATTATTTCGTGTAAATTAGTTATTTCATTTAAACGAATTAATTATTTCGTGTAAACGAAATAAACATAGGGTATTTCGTTTAAACGAAATAATAATTTATTTCGTGTAAACGAAATAAACATAGGGTATTTCGTTAAAACGAAATAATTATTTCGTTTAAACGAAATAATAATTTATTTGGTTTAAACGAAATAACATTTCGTTTAAGGATATTATTTCGTTTAAACAAAATAAACGAAATATTATTTCGTTTAAACGAAATAATAAATAAATATGTTTACAATTGCGCCTTAGGGGCTCCGTACTCAAGAGTATATAATATCTTATTTTTTGGAATCGAAATGGACTGTAATACAAAATATGCAGAGACACAGAAAATATTTCTTATTACATGCAGTACTCTACAAAACAATGAAAGTTTCTGTACCTTTACAATATAAGGAGGTAGATCATCTAATTTCCATACATCACAAACTGGTAATCTAAATTTTGACATCTTCTGTTGAAGATCTAATAGTTTTCCATCTAGTTTAGGTCTAAAAAAATAAATTATATGTAAGTTAAGTTCTAAAAGTTCCACTCATCATTTCTATGTAGTGTTAATAATCTATTGAAACTTTTATGGAGAGACTAACTTATTTCTCATGTTTTGCCACATCAAATGATAGCTTTGTTATGAAGAGAAAATCTTATGTGTTTTTCTGGATTAGTGAATCATTCAACAAATCTATGCTTTGTTCAATGCTTTCTGTTTAAGTAATATCTCTTGAGAGAAAACACTAAGATTGTGAAACACCCAATATAAATGTAGGCTCAAATGTAGAGTAGGTAAGTAATAACGTTTGTAGAAACACTGCTTAATGACTTCTAGGTAGCCTACATAATCTTCATCATTGGACATATTGAATGAATCATATACTCTCTTTATATAGTCTCTTTAAAAGTTGATATTGACATGCTATTATTGATTTATATTTGATTATTTTGTATTTAATATAATTATAAATAACCTACTCCGGTGTATTGACTACAAACTTTGTTCCAACTGAAACATCATCATCGTCATCATCTATGACATCAATGACATCAATATTCTGGTTATCCGAATCCAAATTTAAAACGCTGGTGGTTTTCATTGATTCAACAGACATTTGATTAGTGATTGGTTCTGTATTTGGTTTCTTGGAACTGTTGGCACTACCAGGAACCTTTGCATAACTGTTTGTCTTCTTTGCCTTCAGTTTTAATCGACTTCTTTTTCTTTCAGCCATTGTTCCTAAAAAACATCCAAAAACATTTATGTTACACACATGTGTAGCCACTGATCCTGTTAATTCAATCGGAATAAAGAAACTAGTGATGGCAAAAATCTCTGTCTGAAAGTTGATACAAGGTAGGCCTACAAGTAGATTCTACTTCAATGTGCCAAACTCAGCCGACAGTAATTCAAGTCATACTGTTAAATAACTTTTATCAGTTTCTTTACGTACACTTACACTTACAGTCCTACTTTTATTTTAGCAGGTGACACTCAAACATCCAGTCACTTTTTGTCTGTTCTTTAACAAATTATTTTTTAGCGCTATGGATATATTTTTTCAACAAAAATGCTTTTGGATATATGTAATTTCCTTGTTATTGTTAAACATTGAAGTGCAAAGCATAGGCCTTGCTCAAACTCAAAACTTCGGCTACAATCACAATCTGCTTCAGTTTTATACTATATATATGCCTCCATTTATATATTATAGGCTAGATAATAATATTCACATAATGTTATTAATTATATATTTTGGATAACAGAGATTATATCTCAGGCTTCTTTTTTTTTTTATCAATACTGGACAATTTTTATTGAAAAATAACGTGACATTGTTTCTGTGTTAACTCAATAACTGGACATGCCCACTTATTGACCCAGTTAATATTGAGGTCACGAGTTACCCCGGAAGTTAACTGTGATATAACTGAGAGCAAGATGGCGAGATATGAAAACAAAGATCAACATATCGCTATGAAAACAAACTAGTCCAGTTGACCGAAAGGAGAAGAAATATGTGAAAGACGAAGACATGCACCTAATAAAGCAAAGCAAACACATGGATTTAGGCGAAGCCATGGATTCAGTAGCAGATCAGAAGGAAATGGTTGGAAAATATCAGCGCACAGACTCGACTGGTTCGATAAGAATTCCAACTGACTTTGTAACGAAAGAGTCTTTTCGTCCAGATGAGTTACCCGATGGTGCCTGCTTTAGGCCAAGGAGTGTTTCTACAACTGATACAAATGAACAAACTGCTGTCAGACCAGCCAAGGTAAAATTGAATACATTAAACTTTTTATACAACATTTTGATACAGTGACACTGACAGTTTTTTTTTTACATTGTATTAGTACAGTGGTGTAACCTATTTTCGTGGATATAAGGATTCAACACCGAATTTCGTCAAAATAAAAGAAACAATTTTTTTTTTTTTGTTGTCTTAGATGTTTCCTCAGATATTCTGCAAAATAATTAAAATTGGTTTATTTCGATTTTCTTTATGAATCCTTCACTTTGACCCATATTTCATGAGCAACCAACTCGGCAACGGCGGCAGAATGCGTCACCTATTTTCGTGTACAATGTTTGATCTATAAATAAGTCTAGAAAAACACATTGTATGGATACCGGGTGGTATAATTAACTTCTCTTAGTATTTATCTTTAATATCAATTCATTATAACTAGTGACAATTCTTTCAAAGAACCACGATTTAAAAAAAAAAATAGTGACTGACAAAATAAGATACGTAGCGTGATATATTGCTAAAAGTCACAGAAACAACATAAGAATATGGTCCACTTTGTGTTCCATAGAAATTTTCTGCTGACACGGAATCCGCTAGGTGATCATGTGACTACATTCGTTGGACTACATTCTAGCAGACGACACTTGGAATTCCAATTACCGTTTGGGATTATAAGGAAATTCGGCCAATAATAAATGGTGACATTTGGTAATAACTGTAATCCGCCATTTTGTATTTGTCAAAGTATACATTAATATATTTTACCATGCTTGAAACTACTGAATTCATTCTACTAGCTGATATTGTACAGAAAACCCATGTTTATCAAAACAAGCAAATGCGGAGGTCATGTAAATTATTAATCCTTTCCGGAAATCCACGAAAAATAGGTTTCCACGAAATTAGGTTACTTGACTGTATTATTAATGCCAATCACTCATATTCAAATCCATAGTCTCTACTTGTGACCTAGGCCAGTGCTTTTATAGGAGAGTATCTTCTCTAACACCTATAACTAAGCCAATGTGTAGGCTACTGCCTGACCTGATATGATGCATTCTAGGCTAATTTCTCAAGATATAGCATACCGGTACTCTACAACAATGACGAACGATATGATCCATGTTTAAGTTTTTATCATCTTTTTACAGATGATTTTGAATCGTTGCAAAGGATAGATATATTTCTTTACATTAAATGACAACAGTTCAGAAATTTAGATTTAGTAAAAACTTTGGAAATACAATAGGTTACCAGTATTTCTAGTTGATGCAGTGATGCTAAACCATTTCATTTGAGTTTCTTGATCCCCTAGAGCTGTTGGCGCTGGCGTAAGCAAAGGTTTAAAATTTGCTTGACAGAAAGAATTTAGTTATGTGTTTGAAGACAGTTACCCTATAGATTTCTTGACCAAAGAAGGCATTGATATTGTTTGAATTTGTATGACAAGATAAAAAAAAAGAAAGAAAAAAAGTGATAATTGGACATAAAATATTAACCTGTAATTGATTACATGTAATAAGTAATTGGAAATTATGTTGTGTGATAAATATCTTAACACATATCTGAACATTGCTTTCTGTCAGATTATGACCTACAGGTAGGGGAAGGCTTTAATCAGCTTATGTTTTTCTTAAATGGGCCAATATATTTTGTTTTAATCTCATAGATAATGATTATAAAAGTTGAAATCTGGTAGATTTAGTACCAAATTCCCACATCTTTGTATAGAATAATTACCTAAAGATTAAATAGTAGAAATTAATACAGATAGTCCACTATGATTTTACCTCTCAGTCTGGCTTTTCCAAGTTGTTTATTGTAAAGATTTAAGCTGGTATTTGGTAGGTCTATTATTAAAGACATAGTTTATTGCAGTACAGCATGACATTGTTTGAAATAAATGAAATTCCTTTACATATGTTGTACATATTCCTTCCTCTTTGAAACACTTGACATTGATACTTTGGAACTATGTTATTTGTGGAAATAGGCCATTTAATGACTTACTTCCTAGTAGAAAAGTCATTGAATGTAAACAGAAGAGCTTCATATTATTTTAAAGAAATATAATGCTTATCTAGTATAAGTTTAGGAGAATCCAACTTCATACATGATATCTTAAACACTAAACATTGTTCACACTAACAAGACAATAAAACGATCAAGTCAATGGAATAATATTTGTATTTTTCAATTTATAAGTTCAAATCATATATTTAAAGAAACTTTGAATGAAAAGTTGCGTTTGTCCCTATTTCCTCTATATAGCTTATATCAGATTTCCACTATGATAATAAACATATTTTAACTTATCTGGACCTCTACTTTAATCCAGATGGTTTTATTTTATCTTTATCAACAATCTCCTTAGTTATTAAGATTTGTCATTCTACTGAAATAACTGATAAAGACCAGTGTAGATCTAAAATTAGCCTTCTTATTGATCAGTTTGAAATCTGTAGGGGGGAAAATAGGGTAGCAGGATGGGCTGACCAAAGTATGAGGAAAAAAATGCTATTCTACATTGACAAGTGAAGCTTTCAGAAATATATATTGTTATATGAAAAGAACATTTTTAATGGTTGTTTTACTTTTTAGATACTGGTACCGGTATCTACTTTTCTTAGGCTAGAAAGTTCTTTATCATTTCTTACATAATAAAAATTTGTGGTTATAACTTTAGAATTAATCTATGTTTGACATGGTCTTGTTTCTTTAAAGGTTATTCTTGAAATATTCTGTATTTTTAACAGAAATTTGTTAAATATATTGCTACCTTCTTGCTCAGAAGGTTCGTTACTTTCACAGAAAAGGTAAAATATTCTCAACATCTGTAAGCAGGATTCGACCTAAGTGGATTACTGAATGAGATTTTGATAAGAAGTAAAGAGTTATGTCAGTGCGCAGACAGTATGGAATATTAACATGGAGTATGATTTGAGGTTATTTTTGGATTAAGGATATTGATTTGTTAGTAGAATGATTTATTGTGTATGGTTAGTGGATGGTAGACCAGTGATAGTAAGAATATGATCCTATCAATGATTAAATCTAAAATAGACTATGGTGAAATATTTACTCTTTTAATTATACTAATTAATATAGTACTAACGATAACAAACCTGCATTAAATCAGGTTTGTAGGTTGTTATTCTTCGACATTGCCGACTAACAGACCTCTATATGCTTTGAAAACAGACAAACTATAAACAACAATTCAATTAGCCCTTTTAGATTAAAACTTTTCATCTTTGATCATTTTTACATCTACATATTCATTCATTAAAACTAAATGAAATACAGTACGGTACTTTAAACAGTGGAAGCGATGATAGTCCTGGAAGTTTCACGGCCATAGTGACCATTAACATTAACACGGCCATAGTCAATAGAAATCAGTATACCTACATTATGACGTCATTTAGAAAATTGATCAACATTTTGTTCTTTAATTACAGAAGAATTCGCATTTGTATACCAGAAAACGGAGCTTTTGATTAGTCAGATAGTAAAGCTCAATTTATTTGACTGAAATGAATTTGAGTGTAAGCTTGCTTCAGTTGATATTTTTGTCACGGGTGGAGACATAGTTTCTTATCTTCCTGTGATATTACATCAGCAGTATTTTTAATACTGTCAAAGAACAAATAGGTTACAGCATATTCATTTAGATTTTATGTTTTTTCTCACAGTCTGGTATTGTCAATGTACATTCATTTTCATACTTAATTTAATGAAAGAGAAATATCCAGTTTCTGAATGATGAATGCTTTGGTGTTGTACCCCTTATCAACAAAATTATTTAATCAAATGACTGTACTTGGGTTTTGTTGTTTTGTCCACCATTTATTTTTGTTGGAATATAATATCTATGATGCTGAAGATACCTGTCGATGTATTTTCTGAGGGAAAATAGCTCTTTATAGCAGCTTGGCCAATGCTTTTATGGGTTGGCATGTGAAGAGTTACACGATATG